AATAGACCTAAATCGAAGGGACTGCCGACTTATGACGTCACAATCACTATCTTCTTGTGATTGCAGCGCCCTCACCGGGATGTATAGAAACAGACTTCCTGTAATGAAATCAATGTTGTCGCATCAGGGATTTCTGCATTCTTTAAGGAAATAACAACAAATTAGAAAAATCAATCAATTATCTAAGCTTTCTTCGACGAAATGATCTCGATTTACTACTTCGGAAGTTATAACTTTACGCTATGGAGTCGATGGAAACGTTTTAACTGCAGACATCAGCTGACTACGACGTGACATCTCTTGTATGCTGTCGATTATATTTTACGGTAGTACATGTTTATCTTCTTAATTATTTTACAAAATAAGGACACAATTTATCTAACAATATTTGAACAACGACCAATTTCAGATCTTCGCTGAATTAATATAAATAATACATTGTGAAGTGCCGTTTACCATAAGTGCTTGAGGACGGGACCCCCCCCCCTTTCGATATAGACCCCTGGGCTTTTTTCTTATAAATCTTTCATTGACTTATTTGTGATAAGATCTATACCAAAAATTAGAAAATTTACCTAAAGTTCTTTAGAATCTACCCTACATTCTATGTAAAAATCAACGAGAGTGGGGTAAAATTTTTATAGAATGTTAGTTTAATCAAATTTTCTGAATATTGATAGGATAGATTATATCACAAATGTGTCATCCATATATAATTTATGTGAAAAAAGTCTAACAGACCCGGGGGTCTATATTGGGGGGGGGGGTCCTGTCCTCGGCACCTGTGCCGTTTACAGGTTTTAGATCAACAACTTAACAAGAAACATATTGACGCAAGCGTCAAAAATCAGCCGCAAACCAATTAATTCTTTCATACAATAAATTAGAAACTGAATTCTTCTATTTATCTGTTAATTAATATATATCCCTGTGACATTAAACATTTGAATGCGACATCCCAGGATTTTCTTCAGTACATAATACATGTACATTGCTACATGTACAATGTATTTAAGCAACTTTCTCATAGCCCTCTTTGTCCGCGCACTCAGTAAGTTTATAAACAAACTCTCGCGGAAGTTTGATGTTTAAGTAGTTTTAACACTTAACCATTAAAACTAACGTTTAAACTTATCTAACTAGAGATAGTTTAACATTAAATAAAACGTAACAAGTTTTCAACTATGCGGGGCTCCTCGCTCGCTCAGAGGATGTTGAAACCCCCAACTCCCTCTAGATCCGCCACTACATTTCTTCTCTATCTTGTTTTGGTGTGACATGTGGACGGAAAAGGTTTGGCATGTTGTAAAACGCGCTTTATCCTTGTCTGTTGGAGAAAAATCTCCTAATATTCTGTCTGATAATAAATCAAGATTAAGTCATATTTTTGAAAAATTTCCGTATTAAAAGTACAATGTACATTTATATTTACACGTCAGTTTAAATTATATATACAACAAATCCTGTTGAAGTAGAGAAAGTAAAGTTTGTTTAGACATGTATATAACGCGGTCCTTCCCCTGCGAGGTGAAATTCATGATTTCAGGAACTTTTATGAATCGTTCATGAACATTCATGATGTTCATGACTGGTTCATGACTGGTTCATAAAGATGGTTCATGAACTTTATTCATGAATATATTCATAAAATGTAGTTCATGAACAAATGATGAATATATATGAATATTGGTTATTTTCATTTTAAAGACAGAAAAAATGTAGAGTTCAAGGTATTATGAATGTTCATGAATTTTCATGAAGACTAAAATAATTGACAAAAATGATTGACATAAAACACTCAATACTCTCATAATACAACTTTTGCATGCAGATGCAATTGTTGAACAAGCCCCTGGTATAATATATGTTTAATAATAATTCTTTCACCATCTGAAAAAATAAATCATGAAATCTCTAAACATTTAGTGTTTTTATTTGATTTTAATTTAAAAAACACTGCATCACAATTGACAGCATTTTTTTCAAATTCATTACTTGTGTTTCTTCATAATTTAAATTAAACAGTTATATTCATCATAATGTGCTTTAATTAATGTCGTTTTTCATCACACAACTTTGTTCAACCGAATTTTCTCTAACATCAAACTTTAAACAAGTTCTTGGAAAATGAAACATTCTGGAAAATGAATTTGTGATATAAAAAACGTTTTATATATTTATTAACAACTTAAAAATGACATCACTTGTCTGTACTGTACCTATTATTTTTAAACACATACATTTCAATTTTGGTGCAGTTAAAATGTCAAAAGTTTCCCTTGCTTCGTGCGTAAATGATAGAGCACAGACTGCATGGTTGTAAAGTATCTATGATCCACATTCGTATTTTGTAGTTTTAATTCTGTATGCGTCTTCACAGCTCAGAATATTCTGTCTGACTGAGGGCGAGAGATTGTTATTATCATGTCATAGGGGGCCGCCATACTTGCTATACGAAACTAAAAGTCAATACATGTATAATTCATGACGTAAAAAAATCGAATTCTTCATTGATAAAACTTATTTTGATATAAAATATTGTATTTTCAGTGAAAAGTTATTGATAGTGTTTGTAATTTTTTTTAAACAGAAATCTTGGAAATTCGAAACTAAGGTATTTCTTGCGTACAAAAGGCGCAAACTTGAAAACGCGCGAGACGTTGGAAGTGGGAATTTTTAGTGTGCAAGAATCAGTATTTGTGATCTATTATTTGCATAGTCACTGTGCCGTTATGAATTGCATAATTTTATTTCGAAAAAATTCTGTTTATACTAAATGGTAGCCATGCGGTTTGTCTGGCGTTTTGGCTGTGAAAAATGTTGGCCTCCCTAAGGAGTAAGTTTTATATTGTTTTACTTGAATTTATATCTAACTTGATCATCTGTATCTACAGTTTTATGAATATAAAATACAGTATCCTTGACCTACAATGTTTTGTAAAACCGCCTATGCATGCGATAGGCATATAAGGCCTGTTCAGCTCACATGTTAAAGTTACGCATTTAATTTTGTATGATTGCTTATGATTTTGATATTTTGTCAAATTCTTATTATGCTTTTGTAATTTGTAGTTTTTCACCCTCTCACAAGGTGTGTCCAATAAACAGTACAGTCACTGATCTTTGTCAACTTTTAAAGAAAATAACAGAATATGAAGAAGGAAGACTATATATAGGATCGATCTATTTCATAACTGGTGAGTGACAAAAAATGGAGACAATCACTAGTAGAAATCTGTCTGTAAATGTTACTGTCTATTTGTAAAATAACAACTAATTAAAGCACATTATAATAAATTAATATGTCTTTTTTTTAATGCAATTTTTGTCTAACTTTGCTTTGAGTTTGGATCCAACCATATAACATACATTAATTATAGACTGAGACTCAAAACATTCATAGGCCTGATTGATCTACAAAATGGTGGTCCAAGAAATTAGGCTTAAATTCCACTCAGAATGTTTTAATTTGGAAGTGTCTCTGATGCAAAATTAAATGAATCTAAAATGCAAGAAAATACAAAAAAGTCTTATGTTTTACAATCATGGGTACTTTCAGAAAATCTTTCTTTTTGAAGGAAAAAGAGAAGCAGTTCACAAATGTTGATGAGCAGAAGAGAAGAAACTCTGGCTGCACAAAAATCTGAGCTCTTGAAAAAGAAACAAAAAAAAGAAATGAAAATATGAATGATATTCAATCAAGGGATCCAAATGATGAAATTCTGGAAATTCCACAGGGAGAGACGTACAATAAGGATTTTTGAATTGACCATCTCTGCTTGAACTGCTTGAAAGCACTGAAAACTGTTTCCCTGGTGCTGAACAAACTTTTCTCCTAGACTAGAATTAAAAACTGTTCAATATAATTTCTGGCATTAAAACACAAGTTGAAACATGCTGAGGAAGGATCCCCCTCTCCTTTTGACCAAGTAAGGTTAAACATTCTGCAAAGTGTTGCATTTGAATTGAATTTTTTTTATACTTTTACCAGGAATGAACTACGTTACTCATTTACTATGGTTTAATGTGTCAGATTGTCTATTTTAATTTTTTTAACAAAGACTTTGTTGCCATGGTTGGAAAACAAACAACATTTCTGTAAAATCTTTCAAAATGCTGTATTATAAATCATCTACTGTTACTTTTTTAGCATGACTTCATGCATTTTCATGAATAAACATGAATAATAATATTTCATTTTTTGTTTACGAATAAGCAAGAATATTCATGAATGCTAATGGTTCATGAATTTTATTCATTCATGAACATTCCTAAAAAATTCATCAAATTATTCATGAATAGTTCATGAAGATCCTATGAACTTATTATTGGACATTCTTGAAATGATGAATCTTCATGAATATGACTCTTCATGAATTATTCATGAAAAAAAATATTCATGAATATTCATCAATTTTCTTTCATGAATAAAAATTCATAATTTGAAAATGTCCAATAATAACTTCATAGGATCTTCATGAATTTTTCATGAACATTTCATGAATTAAATTCATGAAAAATTCAAGGAAATTCATGAATTATTCATGATCGTCTCGCAGGGGCTGCTTTAGACTATGCCCAACATGTGTGCTTATTTCTCCGCACTTCAGTTACGTCGGAGTTTGTCAATAGGATTGGATAAACATTTAACCCATTATTCATAAAATTTTAATTTTATGATTATTATGCGTTTTTATTTTACATTTAGACACTCTTTCTTAATATTCTATTACATGAATGTTAAATATTTTTTATTCAAATTGTTCTAACTCCGCAGAAACGCACGGTGACTTAAAACTTTCATATCATATAACCGACCGCCTCCTGGCGGCCGGTAATAAATTGAGACTAGATTTTCCCCGTGAATGATCTTCATAATTATGTATTTTTAAAAAGTTGGGATTTTATGTAATTTATGTAATCGTGTTGATTCAGGATTACAACATTGTCAGTGTTGAAAAGATTTTCTAAGAGATTTTTTTTTCATTTTCCCCCACAGGTTTGTAGATAGCCTGTCCGCGTCTCAAATGAGAATAGGGGTCTGCCTTGCACACCAAACTCTATGGAAAGTATTACTCCAAACATGGTCATGCCATGTACCACCTGGTATGATGAGTCAAATGTGGAAAGAACAAAGATTGGTCACAAACCTGCCACAGGATTAAATCAAAAGTGCCAAGTGGTGTGTCCTTGTATGCACGGATGAGTTGCACATGACTGGATTTCAATGATTTAATTATCATGTTTAGAACTCCAATTTTTTCAACTATACTGTGTATATCCAGAATGTGATTATAATTAACTTTTGTATATCATAACTCAAGACAAACTGCATCAATATAAATATTAAATAATTTAATGTGACTGTAATGAAATATTATTAAAATCATTGTTATATTTAATTTTAGACTTTTCCTTTTCTATACTGAGATTATATTTGTGAGCACTGTTTTAGATGTACATGTATGGCATATTTAATGTCTTTTTAAATATCTTATTTTCAATGTAATCAATCACAACTGCAAAAGGCAAAATCATAATGGCTGACATATATTTCAATCTAAATATCAGCAGCTTTGAAGAACAAACACTAGTAAGTAATTATTTTATATTGCAAGATCAACTGCCACTATAATTAAACTGTTTGATCATGAATCAACTGCTTAAATAGAAGTTTTAATAACTTATTGTACACAAAACACACAGGCACTTGTAAATCTTATCTTTTTTTTTCTTTTTAAGAAATTATATACCCCCTATCCTCTTGCTAGGTCAAGTTCTAAGAAAATGCTTCTGTTTATATTAAAAAATCATGTACATAGAACAACTTTCCTTTTAGCCCTATGGTAAATTTCAAACCCTAAAAAGTAACAACTGAGGAAGAGAAAGTATGTCCATATTCATAAGTTGAAAATCCCTGAGGGGTTGGGGTGGGGGGGGGGGGGGGGGAGGATCGAACTTCTTGCCTACATTATAATGAAAAAAAATGGAGTGGCTATAGGCTTGCCAAAGAATACTCCTATTATAGTACTCATTACTTGTGTTACTGTACCATAGTCATGCATAGGGGCCTGTTGCGATATCAGCGTTGTAAAACACTGCTATTAAGCATAAGATGTTTGCTCTTTAAAAAATTCACGTATCAATAGGCCTATCTGTTTCTTATATATGAACTTTTTTTTTCATCGAGCAGCATCTTGAAAACCTGCATGCATTTTGACAGCTTCTCCGTGATCATGGTTATCATCTGTCATGTTAAATACTCAAACTGTATAGCTTTTTTTACACATTAAAAACAAGATAAATACCTCAAAAGCTGCTCAAAGAAATCTTTAGTGTATAAGTAAAAAGAATTTGGTACATTCGGCAAAAGTTTAATTCATTCCACGCTAAAATATCTCGACAATGTAGATGTAAATAACGTAATCTTTGTACTGCCGGATGTTTGCTATACATACCGGTGGAGGCGCTGCAATCGGAGGGAGTGGTCTCGTGATATCTATTGTGACGTCATAGGAGTCGGCGATCCCTTCGCTTTAGGTCTATGGTTAAGATAAGGAATGGAAAGTCAATGAGGACAGAATGATGGAATCAAGTAACAGGGTAACACTATATATATATGCCCCCGCCCATTTTATGGCAAGCCGGATAAAAATTTGGATGAGAGTCTCAGATTCTTTTTTCACTGTAGCCTTATAAACTAAGAAATGGACATAATGTGAGCTATAATTAAACTTACCGGGAAGTCCATGACGTAGTCGGCGTGCCAGGCAGGGCGACGCCGAATCCTCGTAGATCGTCGTGGCTCCATCTAGATAAAAATAAGAAAACACTATCAGTATACACATTGACAACACAGATATTTCCCTTGATTTTTACAATAAGTCACTACAAGTTTCAGGGTTTTTTCTGGGTCATGTTGAGGTCAGATTACTGATCCCGTTCCTTAAGTCATAGTTTTCCAATTTCAAATTCTTTTGCCAGTGAAGGTACCCTAGATATACTATTACTGTAGTAATAATATAAACTTTAAAAAGCGACTTCATATTTTAGCTGCTTTGGCACAGACATTGATGCGCTAATTCAAGAAACCCATACGAAATCATTATATAAATACAACATACATCGTGGATGTGTGTAGCGCTAAATCAAGAATATACCAACAATTCAATACCTAGTGATGATTATGCTTAATTTTGAATACACCAATATAAAAGACCCTGAGGATCAAAATTTGAAGATATTAGAATGAACATTACCTAAAGACGTTTGTCCCCAAAAATTTAAACCTTGGCCGTAATTTTTGAGTGGGTGGGGCTATGGTTTTCATAATTTTCACTGACAGCAGTATTCCTTGTAACAAGACCAACAAATTTGACTTCTAGAAACTCCCACCTTGGAGTTTTGACTCACTTTTACCAAACTTTCTGAACTTTAACCTAGTTGGCCATAACTTTTGAATACATGTAGCTGATGCTATGGCTTTTATACTTTGAAATTGACCTTAGAGTTTGATCCTTCTTAAGGAAACTAATCTTAACCATAATTTTTCAACTGTTAGTACAAGGGTTTTTCATATTTCAAAGATGTATTCCTTCTGACAAGAACTTTCTTTGGACATCAACAATTTTGACCTTTTGACCTTCTAACTTTGAAATTTGAGAAACTTCAACCCTTGCCATAAGCTGTCATGGGCATTTGTGTTTCAGAAACAAATCTAGTTTGTTGAAAAAAAAATTTTTTAACTCTCGCTCAATTTTCATATCTTATTTATTATACCTCCGTTTGGCTTCAAGTGAGTAAATCTGAGTGACTGACAATGATAAGTTTATGACAACCATAACTGCATG